TTGTGCACAATTAATTTGATTTTGAGTGCTGATTTCGACATTGATATGCATATGAGTGTGAGTTTAATTCTTCAATAGTTCACACCCACACCTTCATTCACCTAAACGAAAACCTATCTCGTTTCGAATTTATGCAAATTTTCACCGCTACTTATTCTAATCTCGAAAAGATTCAAATGAAATACAAAACTGTTTCAATAAATGCTGCTTCTTAATTTATCGTATATATTGCTGCATTCTCGTTAATATTTCTTAACACGTCACGTAGATCGACTTCCTCTAGAAAGCACATCGACACTCCACTGACGAAGGATTCGATTTTCTTCATTCAACCGACTCATAATATTATTTAAACATTAGAACGAAGGTTGAATTGCTATTATCCATATCGTCATTAGCTCTAGTAATGAAAATTTTTCATCTAATAACAATCTAACGAAATATCTGTAGCAAAGAACTGTAGCTATGTCTATTTAAAAATATTTCACTATATTGAAAAGGAAATAGAATCGATTAATCATGATAGCATGCATACTTAGAAGCACGTTTTAAACAACGACGAAAAACAAGATTATCAACATAAAATGATCATGAGTTTCAAGATAATTCAAAATCGATAAAGCATTTCATAATATATTCAATTGACTCTGAATTCAGTCTGAAACAATCTTAATAGTGGTATTTTTGGATAGCAAACCTTGGTTTATCGTTATTCCTATTTGACTGAGTATCCTAATAATATCAAATAAAAGTATGATAGTTTTATTTTGAATAAAAGAAGTGTATTTAAGATGTTGTAAACACAATTTAGAAAATATAGATGTTTATTATAACAGATTGGACAAATACGAAGGAACAATTTTTGTATGGATTTCATGTCGCCCAGAAATAATATCAAATTCTACTTTAATAACTCGAAAACGTATTCCAGCTCTTAATAAGACTTCTCGTTCATCCTGAAAATATGTATTTTCTTTTAAAATTGTATATTGATCTATGCAGGAATAACGTTCAATTTTGATGACATACAAAACATTTATTGAAAACACTTGGGCAACAGTACGATCAAATGACGTGGAAACGATTGAATTCCATTTGAAATATATTTCTTTTCGACCAGTTCCTTGACGATATTCTGCAATTAATTTATCCGAAGCATGATCACCACGATAGACGGTTATTGAACGAGATTTAATTCGATAAAATATTAGTAAACAACAATGATGTTTTGTATGACGGCCAATATAATTATATAGAAGATAACAATAAGGACCTAACGTATCAAGTTTCGTTCGATCATCGTCACGTAATGCATTATTAACGATATGAAATAGAAAAGAATCTTTGGTATATAATTTAATGCAACAATCTTGTAAGTTTTGCATTTTTTTCTTTTTAGTCATCTTATGAGATTCATCTTTAACGACATTCAAAATACGTACAATGTCGTTAACAGCATATTCCGAATGTGTACGTCATTCATATTTCAAATAGTTAATAAGTGCAGGAAATATATTATTGAATTTCACATCAAGTTTTCCATTAGTGAATTTTAACAATCATTCGTGAACAAATGGTGAACCATCGTAAGTTGTATTCGTACTAATATTACATCGTGAAGTCCAGCTTAATATAATGGGAACTCTTGCACGATGGGTAGAATTAATTTGATGAACAGAAATCAATTTTGTTGGCGGGACTATGATGATGTTCGATTCCAAACACTCAAAGTTTATTTTGATAAAAACTTTCTTTATGCACGTACGAATTTCGCTTGACTATTGTATGATTAATGAATCAACATGACAACTTAAAATTCTCTATCATGAAAAATAGTTCATCTAGAAAGGAAAATCTATAAGAATAGATGTGTAAATTTTTAAAAAGAAAGTTGTATGATGCATATTCTTCGAATAATTCAGTATGATGTATGATTGACCTCTTTATATTATTATTTATTACTTGTATACTGAAAAAGTACAATGATGTAGGTAGAAGGATATACTGAATAGTTCTATTCTGTTGATAGCTTATTTAAATGTAATTATCTGGCCAGCGAAAACAAACAACAATGGATCTTTTGTTCTTTTACATTAATGTAAGATGAAAAGTTCTTTCATTTTTGTGAGAGTCGTAATGGGTGTCTGCAATGTAATATGTTCAACTCTAACTTATCTGCTGTGAATAAACCAAAATCAGTTTCAAAGGTAGTTAATTGAGTATGATCTGTATAAGGTAAAAGTTATTGCAAAGCAAACTAAGACAAACCTATAGAGAATATTTGTAATCATTTGACAGCTGACGAAATATAGCTTGAGTGTCATGATAAGCAGAATAAAAACGTTTATTAAATTTTACTGATTAAATGATGAATAGTGTTTTGAAGTCACACTATTTCTATACTTTGCTCGACAGCTCTCTTTCCGCACCATAAAATATCATTTGGAAGAAGATATATCAATGATATTTACCCAAGTGAAATCTGAGAGTCACTAAAACTACCTTAAATGCATTTCACACGTACACAATAGTTTTCATTTTGATTTTTGACCTATCATACATCACTGCTTCTTCTTCAAAGAAATGAGAAAAAAAAATATTTTAAGCTAAAATCAAATAGATTCATCAATTGTTTGAGGCACGTATTTGATATAATCCATAGAAAAGCAACGTACATTGCCGCTAAGTAAAAAGAAAGTACTGTTGATAAACTTGTTTTAAATAAACAAATACAAAGGTGCAATTCAATGGTTACCGTATCATAGATTGAAGATCCTTCAGTCAAGAGAAAGTCTAGGGTACGATGTACCTCAAATACAATTTGGCTGATTTCATCAAACGAATCGTAAGGAATAATGATATAAGATATAAGAGTAACATAATGTTTTAAAAGTGAAAGATATTAGCGAATGATTTTTTTTCTAGCTGACGAAAAAATTGTTTTATATTTCTAATCGATCATATTGATGTATCCGTTATTGACACTAAATTACCAATTTAATTCCTTGATGAAATAGTGAGGGTATTGGTGTAGGTGAACGTATCTTTGTGTTGAAAACTCACACCATTCAGTTCAGGTTTTAAACATTAGTGCACAGTAATTTCATGCGAGAAATAAAATCTAGTCACAAATATTGGTGTAGTAGATGTATGAGATATTCGAAATCAGCATATCAAGCTGTATCGAATAACATAGATTGTGTTACAAAGTATTTTTGATCGAAATTCGATTCGAGCAGGTACCGTGCGAAATCTCTTTGTATAAGCCATAATAGAGGTAGAGATCAAATTCCGATGAGAAATATTTTGTAATAAAATCTGTTTTTTTTTTTCGATTCAGTTTTGTATGCTGATTTCGAATATCTCGTACAAGATATTTGAAAACGAAATTCTGATGATCAAGTTATTCAAACATGAGGCCATTTTTAATTATTTTGGAATACGAGCTAAAGGGAGTGTTGAAGTGTACATTAGTAGAATTTTTCACTCACTCCCGCTCTCCCTTCCTCCTGCAAACTGTGACAGAAAAACTTCATACCCATCGCAGACCATGAAAAACAGAGTTCAAAGACCGTCACAGACGACAACGGATGATTTCAAGGATCTATCAAGAATTATGTATAACCAACATGCAAATGAAATTTATATATAGAGTATTTCGCTCAAGGAGGAAACAGTGTACTTCGTTGTAATTCTGAAAGTACTTTGTTGTACTTTAAGCTCCTTTTGATGTAACTTCACGATACTTTGCTGTACTTGAATTCCGCTATTTCCCCCTTATTTTCGCTGTTGAAGTTTATTGCGGTAGGGTAAGAAATGAGGGCAAAATATGCTTCAATATGGTACATAGACATTTGAGCCTCGACAATGGAGTCTCTTGACTTTTGAGCCTCCTACAGGTAAGTCTGACCAAGTGAGTAAACCTTGCATGTGAACTTATTTGAAACCTTTGGAATAAGTACTGTTGAACTGATTGTTGGTGTAAGGGTGGGTGGGTAAAAGAAAGGACAACACTCACACCCCACACACTTCCATCCACATCCACACACCACACCCACATCCTACTATGCTTCGTTATCCGATGTCAATAAAGAAAAGTCGGTGAAATAGAAGTAAAGATCATGTGATACATAACTTTTTGTGCTACCAACTTTTCTTATACTCTCTTACAAACTTTTTAAATGAAAAATACGTTCAGAGTACTGAACCAATGGCTGCTAGACCAAAAAATCTGTGCAGACGTCTTTTTTTCTCCATTTCAAAGGCTTGTTCTGAATGAACTAACTTTAATGCAGATAAATATTCTAAATCTTTCCGTAGAAAATGCTTGAAATTCTGCTTCTAGCTGCTTATTTTGGATTCTGTTCACTAGCTTATAAGTCAACGATAGTTAAGCAAATATTTCGTGCCAAAAATTCCACTACAATTTAATATTCAGCAACGATCGACGAATTTAATTGGAGTTACCAGTGAGATGCAATTGTCATTCATATTGTTTTTTTACTTCCAGCAATATCTCAGACTAGATCTCTTTAGAAAGGAATTTTCCATACTTTTTACTTGCATGGGAAACACTGGGAAATTCCAGAGTATGATGTATCCCAAAATTGCACAACTGAATCACGAATGCCATAAAATCGTAGAAAATTAACAATTATTTGCGAGTAATCGAAACAATATGTGAAACGAACCTTTTCGATAATTAGATAGGCCGTCTTTGCTGTGCTTTTTCAAAAATGAATGCATCTCTGCGCACATTCTTCAGTGCAAGCACTTGGCTATTATTTTTCCTTTCTGCCTGTGAATCTGTTCTTCAGTGACACCCAAACACATTCACATTTAGATTTCATCAATAAAAATTTTCAGACTGGATCTTGACAGGAATATAGCTACATGACATTAAAGTTCATCTGTGTCTTAGATGCTTCAGACAAAGCAGCACAAAGCAATATCTTTCAGATTTCTGATAGCTTGAACAATATCGCTTATATCATAGCCCAATGGATTCATTACGATCTATCAATGAAGAAGAAACTACGAACCGAAATCGGATTCTTGTTGGCATTCGCCTCATGTTTATTCGTATTGGTGAGTATCTGATTAAAGATCATCTTTATCAAATATAATTAGTAAGACTAAACCAGATTTTGAGCCAATTAAATGTGGTCGAGTATAGTATCAAGTGCTATTCGTTACGAACGATGTACTAATTATAAGAATTTCGGTTAAATTTAATAATTTTCATTAGCAGCAACCAGTGAGTTGAGAAATCGAGAGAGACTTAATACACTTATCATATTTTATCTATCGACTTTCACATGAAATTACATTATCGAAACAAAACTGAATGATCAATTAGCACTGTTGTTTATGGTAAACTTAACAATATTTTTCCAACTGTTTATAGGATATGTTTCGCGCAGACATCAGAGATAATAAAGAGAATTTAATTTGGCAATAAGATTAAGTATCAAGTTAATTGTAAATATCTGTGTCTGATAAGCTGTTAACCCTTTGGATACGGGTTTAATTTTACAGATGTAATACTACGAAAAATATTTTCGATGTTAAAACACATATTTATTCACTCTATATGTATATCACGACGAAGAGTATAGAAGAAGAAATCCACTGTCACAAAGAGAAAAAAGATAATCGACAGACCTCCCATAGATAGTTGGACTGACATCACCGCTAACAATCAGGTTTGATATATGATACTCCCGTAGCCAAACGATTAATGAATATAAAAAGGTGGTATAAAGTTGTAATTCTATGAAATTTTTTTGTTCACCAATAAATAACAAGAAATAAGAAAAAGCTAATAGTACTCAATAGTTAGTAGCAATGAATAAAAAGACTGTCATATCAGTACTAAAGTGATTAGGACACAAATATGATGAATTAATTGATGTAGTTGTGAATGTATTAGTGCATCGTATTCAGTCATTATTTATAATTATCAGAATCTAAGCTATCAGTTTCAAGTGTTCCATTGTTTTTGTGATGATAATGCATTAAATAAAGTTTTACTCGATAATCGATCGATATTTCTGATAAATATGAGCAGAACAGCACAAAAATTCATTAAAAATTATGGTACAAGCCATCGAATATTCAGAAGTGTGTGTCCAAATAAAATATTCGACGCTGCAAATTCTGATTCGACAGCTGAATTTCGATATCATTTCGCCAGTCTGAACATGATTCCTATTGTTTTGTTCAATTTCGTATCTCTGATCGAAAATAAATACAAGAAGTTACTTTTCTTTGATCTACTCTTTGTCTTTATCAGGCGAAATTGATACATTAAATGAGAAATATCAAGCACAAGCATCAATCGAAGCTCGTTGGGTAGTTCCATCAGTCAATTTCTTTTCAACTCTTTCGCCTCTTGATCAAGATGCTTTCAATCGAGGAAAATCTGTATCTCTTATCAAATATACCGAGACAAATTGGCACCCTCAATTGTTCATCGAAAATGCTCTGGGTGATTTGAAAGAACAAATAAGATACACTGCAAGAAAAACATCAAATGATCAAGCCTGCATATGTGAACATCGTGATATTAAAGGACTTTTTTGGGAAAAACTTGAATTGAATCATTTTCCATCTGATATTCAAGAATTATCAGTTTCTGTTGGTTCAATGTTCTATAATGACAGAGTACTATTAATGCCGGATCCATATTATCGTAGTGGAGTAAATCATGAAGCATTCGTTGACCAACAAGAATGGAAATTATATCAACATGTAAATGTACAACAACGTTTTGTTCGAGAATTTTTTGAAAGTATTGGCGACGACGAATATGATGACATTAACTCAAATGAAGGACGCAAACGTTCACTTGTGTCTGTATCGTGTCATGTAGGTTAGCATTCTGTTTAATACTTATAAATAGTCAATACTTTGAGTTAATATATTTTCTAGCACGTCGTTCTGGTTATTTTTATTGGAATGGTTACTGCTTGATTTTTCTTATTACTATTTTTGGCTTTTGCATCTTTTCAATACCGGCCAAGTATGAATTAAGATTGGCATACTCATGTCTTTCATGATTCGCTTTCTTTCTAATTTTATTTTCGTTTAGTCTCACGCCAAATCTTCTTGCTATTGGAGCTACTCTACTTCTAACTTCAATCACTTTTCGTTGGACAGTGAATCGATCTCTTGTAAGTAGAAATTGTATTCTGGAACATAGCTAGTTTTAGCTCGTAAAAAAGGTCTTAAAGTGAACTTTTTTTGTAAACGAAAATGTTTTGATTTTTTCTATATTGAAAAACTACGGTATCTAAAATGTTAACATTTTATCTTTCGAAATATATTCGACTTTAAATGATCGTATTCTAGCCAACAATATCTTATTTGACATCATTGGATAAATATGCCATCATCTCGATTTTTATACTTGTTTCTCTGTCTGTGTGGCATGCGATTATTGGCACTATAATTTACATTGACAACCGTCTCTCAGTAACAACTGCACTTGATCGCAATTCTTGGATAGATCGTTGTGTATTGATTGTCGTTTTTAGTCTCTATATTACCATGCATGTGATCATGTTTATTTGGCTATATCGAGTTCCTTTTGCCAGTAGACGAGAATGGGAACGAAAAGATATTCAACATAGAGAAAAACTATCCAAACAATCGAAGGAAGCTCAATTGCTTAAGTGGGCATATGTACTCGACTTATGGAATACGAACGATGATAAGAACGAATACGGAATGCCGAAACCTGCCGTTAACACCCTGAGAGTATAGACACGGTCAGCAGATCAAATCGAATGAAATATAATTGATTTTTATCGAGAACGATATAATTCGAAATCTACTTCTGAAAAATGAACCAAATAACATTTTATATATGTGCTGTGTTGGGATAATATATATTATAGACGTTTTACTTTATTTTTCTTATATCTTATTTCATAAATAATTAGTTGAAATCTCTATTGCACTTTGTTAACTAGACTTAAGTATATCGTTTTGATCTCTTTTACACTAAATGATTCATGGGCATTGTTGATTAATTCAAATATTTCGAATATTGTATGCACGAAAGGTGTGGGTGTGGATATTGGGTACGATTAAAAGGATTTCTATAACCACACTCACATTCACACCCTCAAATGAAAGTGATCTCTCGGCTTGACATTTTTCTTCACGATTTCAATTACAACTATTTATATTGCTTTTTAGAGATAACTATTACTGAGTTGTATTGACTACGTCAGTTTTTGGAAGAAGAAATCTTCTTTAGATTCAATACAATCATTTAAGACCTATTTTCAGTGATGTTACCGAAGAAAAATATGATATTTCTATTAAATAATTATTGTTTATGTTTTATTCGAAGTCTCTACTTTATCAAACTTCAAAGAATTATTAATTTTCAATTGGTGATCGTTACCAATGATAAATCGAAGATTATTAGTGAATTTGATAGTTCTGTCAAAACTGCATTGAACAAAATGCTCCTCAGAAAAATCAATTTATTTCTGTCATATAACGCAGATAAAACATGAAATCTATTGTGTAAGTCAATGAAAGTTATTGAAATTCGATTGAGATGCATGGAAAAATATAAAATTATGTTGATTGAGATAATCAAATCAATGCAGAAACAATTAATATAGATTATAGATTTAAAATTTCATTTGATTCGGTCGTTCTTTGCCATAGTTTCATGAATTTTTTCCATTCGAATCTAGTTCTTCGCTTTTTTTGTTTAAAAATCGTTCTCTATCATCGAAAAACTATTTAGCTACCACTATCACAGGTGGTGACATATATTTGCAAATGACGTATAATTTAGTACGAGTCATTATACATGATGACAGTGCCTCTATTTTATTTCGCTTTTAAATGTTGTTGAAATTGCGCTGAAACATTTTGGAAAAAAATTCATTTTAAAGTTTGAATTTTGTTTTATCCGTAAAATGAAAATATGTGGCTTTTAATACCAAGTACTTTAGCATAACAAGTCTCGGCATCCTTGTAGATGCCTATGCACTGACATAGTTTTATTGTTTATCTGTTGGTTGCTAGATAATTCTTCTATCTGAAAGAATTCCTTTAGAGAAATGTCATCATAATCATATTGAAAAAAAGAATAATCTAAATGATGTTCATCTAATACAATCAATCTTTATTTGTGTTATACATACATAGAAAGCAAGAAAACATGTGTGCATGCATTAAAGTATGACAATTGTGTTTGTGCAACTAAATAAAATCTCTTTTATATATTAATGTTAAAATTCAATGTTTTATATATGTGCTTCATTTTATCGATTTATCAATGTGTTTGTTGTTGCTATTGTTGCTACTTTATTCATACGCCCAGTTACACGCATGTATAAACCTAAGAATACTCTCTTGCATTCTTGTCGGTAGCTATGTGAAGCTATAATAAAGATATAGAATGTTGCAGATGGATTAATAAATAATAGAAAGCTATTGCCAAAAAATATAATGAAATTTTCAATTTGTTGCCTTTGAACACTTTTAACTATGTTAGCTGTGACAGCTTTGTATAGAGTTGTTGCTGGAAAGAGACTCGTCGATATGACATAAACCAATACTTCACTCAACAACATAACCATAAGTGTATATTCACGTTTGTTACCATAAGTTTTTTTGCTATTGAGTCGTCCCTGTAATCGACGACGATTGTGAATAGCCAATAAACTAAATATGCTCATTGAAACTGGTGTAATGATGCCTGGTAATACAACAGTATAAATAGCCCATATAAGAGCAGTTGAACCAAGCATAAGACAATTATTTCCAGTGAATGTCATTACAAATGGAATATATATATTAATACAGGGCCATGCAATTACAATTCCAATAATAATACGAAGTGCCACTTTTGGATTGTTTAGTGAACGAAATCGTTGATAATTTGAACATAGTGCATATCGATCAATGCATGCAACTATCATCAATATTCGACCGATCATAATAGAACTGTGCAGAATATACAAACGAAGTTTGCAAAAAATAAATGAATATGTAGCCAAATCTGCATGATCTAAATTGTATATGATTGGAACGACACCCAAATTAGCAGTAAAAATATGCGAAATTGATATTGCGAAAAGATACAAACTACATGAATTGTATAAACGATTTTTCCGTGTAAACATAAATACATTGATCAGATTACCAAGTACACCAAGTGCGAAGTAACTACTCATGACATATCGTGTCATCCAGATACTAACATCTTTTAATGATGCACTCATTTTAATTGAATATATTTTTCTAAATGATAAACTACAAAGAAAAAAAAAATAAAGTAACTTAGTGGACGATCATGCGTATATAATACTGAAAATTGAATGAAACTACAAGTATTCTATTTGATAAAAATCATCATTAATGTATATTAAATTTCCGATAAACTTCTTATGTTTGATATTTGGGAATGATCGTTCTCGTCGCTAAACTTATTAGAAAATAGATGAAATCTATAATGGTCGCGTTCAATTGTAATCATTTTATATAACATTTATTAAATGTTATAACTACTTCCCTAGTAGAATGTCTTTCTTATAGAGATGATATAAATTTATGATGAATTTTAACTACTTAAGAAAAAAAAAACTATTCATCAAAACATGAAACCTGTATGAAAATGGAATTTTACAAGAGAAATTATAGATAAAACGTATGTATTTATGATGAATTACTACTCTGCTTTTAATAAGAACAGGACAGCGACTGAAAGATAAATTATTCGATAAACGTAATGCTATGCTTCTCCACTTCTATAACTTGTAGACAAATTATTTATAATATAGTGAATTTCTTGACAAAGAGAGCACAAAACTCTAATTTGTGAGCTATTACATTTCCTGTTTTTGTCTCGTTCTCGAAAAAAAAAATGATTTTATGAGTGTTCATTAGTCCAATTCTGTTACTCACTTCCTCATTATTCTTGCTGATCCTTGCTTGATTCTAAATTAAGCTTGTTTTTTATGATCAAAGTTAAAAAGAAACAAATTTTATCTTTTTAAGAAGTCTTATCGAATCAAACAGTATGTACCGAAAGAGTCAGCGCAACTTTTATGAGATTACAAAGTAAAATATAATTAAGCTATTTTTATTGTACACAAAAATTTTGTAGATCTGTTTGTTGTATGAAACTATGTTCTATGATCATCTTAACGATATTGAATGGAAAATATCAGCATATTTGTCTCAGTCTATTCATAAGAATGATGGAAGAAGGACAAGTGAAAAAAAAAATGGATTTTGATTTTTAGATTTGTTTGAACTTTTTGAAATTTTCGATAATTCATGATATTTGTTTCTAAAATTCAAAACACCTACACCCTCAAAATATACTATAAAGTTCTCAATCAATTGCAACAAAAACGAAACTAACTATCAATGAACATTCTTAAAATACTTAAATACATGAGAAAGTAATAGTATGTAAGAAAATATGAAGATATATGAGAGAGATGCGTTGAATATGTTAGGAGAAAATGATGCAAACTGAAATTAACTTCTTATATTAAATTTTTAAAAATCAAGACTTTTCATATTGAGGATTCATAAAATGTGATCCTGTCTGTCTTATCGTTTTGTCTGCTCGAGTGACATTTGAACTCTTGAATTCGATCAAATATTTGATCATTCGATGATAACAGATCTATTGAAAAAATTATGAAATCGATTGTCGAATTTCAGATAAAATAAGTCATAATTATTGTTACATTTTCATATGATTACATCGATTAGTTATGGATTATGCTCAATATAATCATATTATAATGCAACAATTTTAATTATTCTTGTGTTTCATAGGCTTCTAAAAATAGTTATACTCCTACATAAATGAGATTATTATGGAGGCAGTGTCTGAAGAATAATTAAGTTTATATAACTATTCATATTTTACTTGTATTTAGTGGATCTCATAAAAATAAGTCTCCTTTTCGTCGATGAGAATCCTTAAATCTTTTTCTCTACATTGATGTAAGATGTCACTCCGAACTTCTGATCTGTAGTGACAATGGTTATCGGATGCAGAGAATCTACATCTTGAAAAATATATCGAAAGATATGTTCAGTTGTATAAATTTTAAGAACTTTTCAAATCTACTCATGATCTGACAGAGAAAATTATTTCAAGAAATGAAGCCTTTGTAGCGAATCTTTTGATAATTGAGAAAAGTGAAGTAAACAATGATGTAAAGGATATCGCATACTTACTTGGAAAGATAATTATGGATCTATGACAACTGCTCTATCAAGAGCTGGCTGTACGCTTCTAACCTCTTTCAATCTGTTGAAATACTAAATCTAATGTAGTCTAATTATAGGCGATGATTGAAGCGTTCGTTTGTAATACAAAAAAGGAATATATATATTCGCCTATTTTATGTGAGGAAGAATAAAGTCTTGCTGAGTATTATAAAGAGAAAAAAACTCGATCGGGTGAAATTGTTTATTCCTTCTTACTTCCTAAATAATACTAAAAAGAATAAGGAGAGTATTCCTAGATGTCCATTTACTTATGAGTAGAAATAATGTGCATCATATATTTTATTTACCAGGTGAACCTGAGGTGAACTCAAGCGTTGTTCTGACACATCTATATCTCGGGAAAAACAAGTTAAGGACAGGACTAGTTTTACTGTATTTTTACTCCATTCTGCGCTCAATTTCCTACAAAATCATGTCAACAGAAAATCAACAATACATAGGTATTCTATCCAAGGCATACAACATTTTTATACTCCAGAATGATCTGCTTTCCAAAGTATATTCTCAGACAATTAATTATTCCTTGCATTTTTCCTAATGAGACGTAATGTTGTTCTATTATGTGAGATTTCCTGTGTTTTGAAACGTGCTCTTTCTCAAATTCTGTAAAATAAGTCACTTAACTAAGAAAATGAGATTCTAGAGATAGATATTCGCGAAAAATATGTTGGAAAAACTTATCGTTTTACACCTTGCTTATTATTGGCGACTAACGAAGATCTGTATATTAGTTTTGAATTTGACAAAAAATTGAAAAGAAAACTTTAAGCTTTCTTTTCATAATACAATATTTACAATTAGTTTCATTGATAGGCTATAGAAACCAGAATAAGGAATAAAACTGAAAAGAAGAACTTCGCCATGAACATGTGGGCGACAATTATTTAGTTGTCTTTCAACTGATAGAGCATCGAAATAAGTTATATTTATATTTTTGTTATACTCTTTCGATATGTCTTTCTAGAGAAGTGAATGAGAAATCTTTTGAGTCTAAATGCAAATATGCATGATAGAAATGCGTTGAGACATTGACAAAATACTGATGATTTCATCATTTATGCTACAGTTTTTACTTATGAAAATCATGCTTATGTTTGAACTTGCACTATAAGTGACAGAACATTCATAAGATTGAGAAGTTTATCACTAAATTTTGAATGTACAGTTAAAAACTAAAGTAAATTGATAACTGATGAAGCCTTTTCAAAATCTTTTAATGAGTTTTAATTTGCGATAATATGACATTAACAATTTATGGACTTAAATTAAATAAGATGACTATCTGGAGAAATTTTATTAGTACTGCGAGAAATAATCATCATAATTCTATTGCATTTGAAGATAAGAAAGATGACGTCTTGAAAATGTGACAGGAGCGATTTTCCTGTCAATAACAGAATAACAAGATAAAAAACCTCATTAAGCATGTAGACGTTTTATTCTTACTCTCACGTTCGTAAATATGACATGTTATAATAAACAAAAAGTAGCTTCTAAAATAAGTATGTACTTTTTAGTATGAATAAGTTTACTGTATGATGAAAGAAATGACTTTGAGTAAGACTTAATTGAATGATCTGAGAAACCATGATATGAAAAAAAGTATTTTTTAAGGCATTAGATTTCAGAGCAGCGAAACTAATGTCAAATATTATACATAACTATATAGGACACCCCCTTTGGTTGTAGATGTGGACTTTGTTCTGCATACGTTATGATAACGAGAACACATCCTCAGAAAACAGAAGCTTTTTTAATTTATTCTTTGGATTTCATTATTAAGTCGAAAACCAATATTATTTTGATTCGATGAGATATCGACCAAGTGACATCGATTTGAAAAAGCGTTCTGAAATACGGATCGATATGAATGCTTGTAGACAGCCATTGGTATCCACTTTTATTATTCATTGTAAAAGTATTATTAAAAAGAGAAGGATTTTCCAGTATTTCTGAATAAAATAAATAACGATTAGTCTAGGCTAAGTGCAGCGACTTTTACAATTTTTGCTGTTTCTTTATCTTTATCATAAACTGGAAACTTTCTTATTCTTGAACATCTCTTCACCACCAAAATAGATACTTTGGTAACGAAATAACTGGTTCATTCCCATTCGGATCAGTTTCTTCTTCCAGTTGAATTTCATATTTAGATTAATGGCTATGGTTTAAAATTTTTATCAAGCGAAATGCTGTTGATAGCAGGATCAGAATTTCTTCTTTATCTGAAAAATTCCGATACTTCTTCCAGATCAATACTTGATTGTCGATCAATGATTTTATACATCGTGTCTCAAAATTATAAGACCCTCACCTTATCATAGCTGCGTGTGGATTTTTCCTTCATTTACTCATACCCTTTATCGCCTTCTATAATTAAAATGGTCAGATATTAAAATATCAACAACCATGGTATCTATTCAATCTCCAATCATAATAATCTTGAATAAAAGAATAATGAACACATTGTATTATTATATGTAAATTCTAATTCATCGGAAAACTCTAAATAAGAATTTCACTGTTAAACTGTTTTGCACATACTTTTTAATTGTAGATCTGTTCGATAGCGATATATCGAAATAGAAGAATATTTCTTTAAATAAACATTAATAAAGATCAACAATAGACTGTTGAAACACAAGTACGATGAAATTTTGTATAATTGATAATTGTATGACAC